ATATGGCCGATCCACATAAAAGCAGGGCCGACTAATCCCGAAAGGCAAACTGAACACAAGAATCCAACACGCAAGGTTCGTCGGAAATTTTTAGCATGCCAAAGATTGTACCACCGCCCACGGAATTGCTGAAGGAGCCAGAGGTTCTACACCAGCGGTCATACAATGGCTTAAGAATGACTTATACGATGGCTTAAGAATGACTTACACGATGGCTTAAGAATGCCGCACGAATTTCCCTCAGCGTGTGTCCATCTGGTGTCATCTGGTGACGCACATCTGGTGTCGTTTGGTGACATCCATCTGGTGGCACTTGCTTAAGGAAAATGCCACGAACAAAGTTACATTTACCGGGAATTGATTGTTTTGTCTAAAGAGGACCGCATGCTATTGTTCGACGTCATGAAACGGTTGTTGGGAGCAGTTGAGAAGGGCTATAAGAGGCAATAAGAGGCTTTTCCAGTTATGTAATATGCGAAGACATAGCACTTATGTTTGTCTATAAGGTGTCCCTCAATATCGTTTCAAACCATTTCCATAACTGCAAATGTAATTTGTGTTTATAGATTATTGAAGACAGATAACCACACTAAATGTGCCAATTTTTGTAAGTTGTCAGTTAATAGTATAACTCTGTCCTTTCGTAACAATGTATACCTTCTAACCAATACGAAGGCCTTTATTGCCAGCAATAAGGCTTATTTGACCTTGGCGTTTTTGGAGAGACTGGCTTGACTTCCGAGCAGTACTTACTACCGTTCTCCTAGCTTTCCTATGATAGTAACGGTCAAGGTCACAAGAGAACGGGCGTCAATTTGACTGCTTCTTTTGGCTGGTCAGTTCACCACATTGATAGGAAAACAAGTCCCAGTCTAAATGTTGAAATCATGGCATTATGGCAAGGGATATAAAGTTAGCGGACCCAAAAGTAATTACTTTGGGACATTCAGGTTTCATAATACTCCAAATATTTTATATGGAATTTCTAAGCGTATTTCCGGCTAGATCTGATGGACTATGTCATGCAAAGAAGGTGTTACTTTTGTTAAACAAAGTCAAGAATAATGTGCATGTCGCAAATATGCATAATGAGGCTTTATCAGATTTCTTTGTCATAATAGACACACGATAATTTCTGAGACCGACGCCCCAGATTTCCAGATTCCTTGACCTTTCACAAAATATAGAAAGAAAGAAAGAAAGGAAGGCAAGAAAGAAAGAAAAGTAAGGCAAGAAAAAAACATGTATTAGCCAGAACCAGATATTAACCAGCCATTTGGTCATAATCTTTTTGACCAATTCTCGTCCACATATTGAGTTCAAGACATATTTATCGTAGGCTATTCCACTTAAATTAGGTATAAGTCTGAAACATCACCATGGTTTTGCTGTTATAAAGCAGACAAAGCAGACCTATTTTCAGTCTTTAAGTTAAGACCAATTTTCGGGGTAGAGTTCTTTTGTGAAATTGACCCGTCCCTAATTGTTCAATGGCGTCAATTTGGTCATTGGCTCCTCTAGTAAGAAGACTTTGGGTGGCACTGAAAGATTATCGTGGTACACTTATCGTGTCTGCTTTCTAACGTTTCTGCATCAGGTGCAGGAGTTAGCAACAAATTCTTCGCACACATGGAATCCAATCCGAGTAGCACAAATAATAAAAATGCCCATTGTGTAGGCCAAAGTAGTTTAAAAAAATCAAATCACTGTGTTTATAATTACATATATAAGAGCTTGTACTTTTGAGCAAAACGGTTATAGATATAGCAGTAGTTAGACCAGTGGATGGGTACCATTTCCCCTGTAAAAATACATCCATCAAATGACCTACAGATAAATAGGCGTTTGACCCAACTTCCTGCCTATCAAAAATAAAGAAAAATGACACAATCTACACATACTTCAAATTGCCACAAATTGCAGCAATTCATCTAATATAACCTGATTTAATTCTTCGTATACGCAGTACAAACAAAGATCACTTTTTTTTTTCTTGGTTCATTCTGATCATTTTCAAAATGGTAAATGATTAAAATATAATATAAATTTACTCTAAAATCAATCTGCTTTGCTTAAGACGAAAGAAAAGATCTCTGCTTAATCAGCTGGTCCATGTTNTTTGTTTGTTTGTTTTGTTTTTTGTTTTTTTTTCTTGGTTCATTCTGATCATTTTCAAAATGGTAAATGATTAAAATATAATATAAATGCACTCTAAAATTAATCTGCTTTGCTTAAGACGACAGAAAAGATCTCTGCTTAATCAGCGGGTCCATGTTTTTAATCTTTGCCTTGTCTGTTGGGAGAAAACCCATTTCATTACATTGTTTCCCGTGTGGATATTTGATTATCAACCTAATTAGAACCGCACGCTTCCTTTCGTGCAGGTATTTCTTCGAAGAGGCGCATGTGCTATCCTAATGTTTAGGTTATGTCAGCTTCTTTAATTTCAGATCCCCATACGTGCACGTTTATCGACAAGTGGTTATGTGCTGAGATTTGAAAATGAAGAAACTGGTCTGCCTTGGCTCTGGAACTTACTGTAGGTCAGACGTAGCTTACTCTTGTCTAAGTAAAATCTCTAGTCGAGAAACTGACACTGCACGCACTCATAATCTTGTGATTAGTTTCTACAAAGAAAAGATTTAAGTCTTGAATGTCCAGTTGTGCACTCGTTCTTCGAATCCTTTCAATGTAAATACCGTTGGCAGATTTGGCCTGTTACACACTACGAAAATTTGTTCTAGGCATTAGCATGCTAATTTCCGTTTCGCAAAGAATTTAAGCAGTAACTCAGCTGTTTTTTTTTTTTTTTCGGGCTTTTAACTAAGCCCCCTGAGCAAATTGTGATTGTCTTGGCAATGATTTTAACTCTCAGTGCTTGACAATAGGCCTCTCAGGCACGTCAACTACATTCATTGTGGCCCAATCGTTCGTAAAACACTCTTATACCGATATCACTAAGTCGATTTTACATAGGCGGCTATCTGATTTCAGCAATCAAACAAATTCCAAAATCTTGAGACTTTTGTGAAACAGGCCCTGGGGCAACCATAGTTATGTGAATATTTTTAAAAAGCTTTTTCAGAATCTCTTGATATCTTTCTTCGATATCAGACATTCTGTATCCCTCCATTTCACGAGTACAAAGCCTTCCTATCATTTCTCTGTTCCTTGCTATGCACGTCTAAAGAACCACTACTGGTATATAATAACACGTGCGCGCGCGTATTAATTCTCTTTTGATTATATCATACACATCGATACAGAGAGGGAAGAGCGATGAGAAAATAATTTTTGCTATCCTGGGTTTACGAGGTAATGAGGTAATGACTATTTAAGTCATGTTTCTTCCGTGAAATTCCTGTGAAGGTCGATTGCTTTTCTGAGGGATTGAGGATTGGAATGTGAATGCCCAAGCATACATCTGCACATGCGCACAAGGCGTTTCAGCGGTCTGATCAAAGTGTCTCCGAACATATAACAAAGTGTATATCATTAGATAGAAGGAAAACTTTCATTGATTAACATTAAATATTGATTTTAAAGGCACGTACTAACAACAATCTGCGTATGAATTAAAGGTTACTAAAACACATGTGAAAACGTGATCAAAGAAAAGCGTGATTATACATGCTGAACAAGTAAAACGTTCCAATCGAACCTAAAATATTAAATTTAAGAAAAATAAATCCACCAATTCCATAAGGATGAGATGGCTAAAGGAATTACAGAAGTGCACTGATTTGCTTATTTAGATTACACTTGCACAGACACGTGCACAGTAATAAGTGTTCGTTGCACACAAATCCGCCCGCATGCCCATTTTTTCGTCGAACCGTTTCCTTACATGTATTCAGTTTTTCCCAAATAGTTACTCAACCATTCGACGAATAAGCCTTTGAAATTACTTGTCCAATTAAATTTAAAAAAAAAGGTTTAGTGTTGATCTTAAATTATAATTATTTAACCTGAGCAAAACCTACGTCATGCCAGTTTACAAAATAAAACTTAAAGGTCACATGTAACATAATGAATTGCCACTGTACTTTGCCTCGCTATTCTCCACTTAGTCTTTTTTCTACGCAATAGACCAAACAGACATTTGCATTAATTGTAACAGACATCAAAAGAAAAGATCAACCTCCGACTCAAGGCTTCAGTAGCGCTGTCGCTCGCCCTCTCGCCTTCGTGCGCAAGAAAAAACGCGGACACTTCAAGCACAATTTCGAGAGCAATCAACACGCGAAATGAGGCAAAGAATTCACGCGCTTTTAAGACCGAAACCATGATCAATTTGAGGAGTTGGCTATGGTAGTTTTTATTTGGTCTACAGAAAAAGTGAGTCCTTATCCCTAGGTGGAAAAAAAAAGAATTATCCAGGATGTCCATACCATTTACACGCGATATCGAACTTCCTCGAATGTATCCAGATTCTCTCCCATCCTTTCTCAAAATACGATGATAACATGTGAAGTCATCCAACATATGCTGTAGTACATGTACATGACCCCCTAGCTGAAACAACAGATTACCTCCCCACATACACACACAGACAAGCAGATAAACCACCTACCCGCCACACACACACAGACACACACACACACACGTACTAATATTCGGTCAAAAACCATGGGTGACGTTCTCACCCCCTCCTATTAGGCAACAGATAATTACCCCCCCCCCTTACCCCCCCCCCCCCCCCCCCGTTCAAAGATCCCCAAAATGTATAACCCCCTACCTTGTGAACATGCACTGATGGTCTGTTATTTGACGTTAGGTTATCACCACCCCTCTCCTCAATACTATTCTACGTTCGTCTTTGCCCATGCATATTAGCCATACTAAAGATACAAGAAAACAACCGTCAAGTCACGCACGCTGAACAAGGCTTGTTTGCTACATGTCATCCCACCCACACCTGTACTGCCTGCCGATATCCATAACTGTTCATCGCTGCGGGGCAAAAAAGCAAAGAAAAAGTTAAAATAGAACATACGCACCTGTAATGAATTGTTCTATATAAGTCTTGGCTGTAAAGTCCCTGCATCATTTTGGTCATGCAAATTCATCTACACACGTTTTCTCATTATAGTCAATTCAATCCTGTCTTCAGTATCAAGTCGTGCTCTTGGTTTCCAAGCAAATTTTACTGACCAGATCTCCAGTATGCCGGTGACATGTACTGACACGACCCGCCTCACAGCCACCGTTCTTCGTGATGCAATCAAAACAGTGTAATTAATCTCAGCGGGGGTCTATTGACAAGATTGACGTTGAATCTTGTACCGTGCAAGTTGATAGCAGGTGAAGTATATTTTCCGAGCGCGAGCTCGAAGAACTCGCTGGCTGTATCTGAGAACGCGACAATGATGCTGTTCAGAATAATTCGTCAGCTATCGTGATTATGATAAAATGAGCATAAGCTCAACGCGTATATAACTGTAAGCGTGACAGAACTGACGGTCATGCATTCCTTGTATCGGATTAGCGTCACTAAGACTGGGTTCCCACAGATTTAGATCGACCCATATGGATCGACCTAACTCCCTGGGGGTTCACGCTAAATTGCTGTCAGCTTCCGGGAGCTGAGCGCGCACAAAAGTTAATTACCGTAACCTCCTTACAGCTTTTAGTAGGCGGGACAGACATTTAAGCCGGTTAGCTGACAGCAATCTATTGAGAGTCCCCAGGGGGATAGATCGATCTAAATATCTGTGGGAATGGTCTCTAACAGATGTTTAAAGAAGTAAAGGTGTCTTTCTTCATAATTATCACCGTAGGTGTGCTGTAATCCTATGGACTTAACGACGACATGTAATAAGATAAATATGCTTGTTAATATGAAGAGACGTCTACAGACCTCTGAAACCCAGGAGTTAGACTGCTGTAATGAAAAAATTCAACGTTAATTATCTGACACTTTAAGGTATTCTTCTGCTTACTTTTCATTAACTCTTTCTTCTGTCTGTATAGCGCAAGTTAGTATATTTATTCTAGCAGGGAATGGTTACGAAATTGAGCGGAGGTGGTAGCCCCCTTTTGCCAAAAATATTAATATGTCGAAATAAAACATTGATATTCAGATATCACGAAAACTTTGTTGAAATCCGATTGGTCGATAAACGATGACGTTAGCAAATGGCTACTACTCTTCCGTTAGGCCCTATTAAGAAATACTCTGTGGAGCATTTTTGAGTTTGTTATACACACTTGTAAGTATTATCTACCGTTGCGAATAAAAATGACATGGTTCTACATTTTTATTTCAAATGGAAATGTAAAAAAATTACGGGAACTCCTTCCATGTGAGCCGCAATACTAAACACAAACCAATCCGCAACCTCAGCAGTAAGTGGCGTTCACCTGACCTCGTCAACATGCTTGAGTGTCAGTATTATAGGCCGGTTGTACAAATAAACGCGGGACAAAGCATTCAGAGGCAAAGGGATATTTTCCAATTCTCAATGCCAGATATTTTCAGGAAAAAGTGAAGTGGTGTTTCATTAAAGATCGTCCGGGTAGACAGTATGCACTATCTCCCGGCGCATCGGTAATTTGATGGAAGTTAGTGGAAGTGCTCTAAACAATGCAGGTATCATATCTGAACGAGGATTGCCTGGGTTAAATGTAGTATACATCTTTAATGTGCAAGCGCTCAAATCACCGGTCTCATCTAGTAGCCGATCGCTGCAAAATCCAATTCTAAGACGCAAGCATTTTAAAATCTGATCAGTGCTTAGTATGATACTCTTTCGCTGATATTTGTACAGATTCCGTAGACCCCAAACTTTCATTGTGACAACGCACCTTTTTCATTTCCGCTCTGTACTTCTAGAGAAATTCACAGTGGAGTTTAATTTACATTGGAGTCGAGTCAACATCACGGCGAACTGTATTCTGGGATATTCCAGTTCCCCAAGAGACAGATTCCATGGGTTACTCCTGACACTCATTATAATGTAAATTTTATCATGCGTTTTTCACAAGAGTTCAAACTATCATATGGGGTAAGTCATTGTTTGAAAGGAGTGTTACAACTAGCTAAATAGGTCATAAAAACAAGAACCCATACTGTCGCTTATGATCGTCGACTGTCAGTCATTTATTGATTTGAGAACTAGGTTTGACGTACGTGCAATGTGAAATCATAACTTACAGTAAATTGACGCCTCTCGCGCTGTACCTATCTTGGCCACCATTCCCGATTCGAAGACCAAAATTCAGTAATTAAAACGAACATAATTTACTCTGACCTGGATATCAAGTTTACAGACGTCAAGAAATTCACATTTTTGGTAATGTATTTATCACTCAAAAAACGATATTCATTTCTGGGGTAATTATAATGGCAATGTTAACCAGATAATATTCAACTTTCTCATCTACATCTCACTCATATTTTCGTTGTACTGGTTAGATAAAACACGGAAGATTCATGTTGCGTGAAAAAAATATGTCGAACAGATTTAATTTGCCCTTCGCAGCTAAAAAAAACCCTCCGACGATTTGCGACCGCCACCACGAGCGAATTAACCTTGCAATCCATATATGGCAATAGTCGTGACCAGCCAAAATGAAAACCGAAACCGCGGTCGATTCGAAATAAATATTTTGCTAAAAGTACATATCCCTTTCGTTGTCTCAAAACTTTCTTTGTAGGGAAATACTATGCAATACTAGGCACAGTTGAAATCAACCTGCGTAAATGTGGCCAGAAACCTGCAATTTTACCCGAGCTGTCTGTGTCGAATGGGTATCGGAGACCATGCACGTTTGATCTTACGGAAATTCCGTTTCTTCGGTGGTCCATGGGTGAATTTAAAAATAAAAATATATATACTTAAGTACGAGAGAAATTTTCACTTGGTCTTTTATTAATGCCATATTATGGAAATCGACAAATCCCGTAAGGCCTCACTTTGAACAACATCTAACCCCTCTAAATGAACCTTCACTTGTCCAAGGACCGCTACCCATACCAGCTAAAGAGTAACCGAAATCATTGAATCTTTCGACTTGTCACCGATAAGTGATGCAGAAAATGAAAATCTGGCAAACGGAAATGATACTTCCGGAGGGACAGGATTGTCTAGCCAAGAGAAAAACAATTGCACTAAGTGAATAAATGGTAGCAGGAAATTGCTTAACCCTCCCACTTTTCCCCTACATCTAAATGTGGAACCTTTACATTTTGTATTTTTAGTACTTTCTTCAATGCTAATAATACAACTGTTACTGCCTTATCTATTGAAAAAAATAACACAAAAAATTAAAGCAAGTGCATGACATCCTGAATAGACTTCCCTTCTCCCATATGTTTTAGAAGAAAAAAGATCGCAATATTACAGTTGACGGAAGAACCATCACTAACTACAACCAGGCTTTAATCAATTTACCCCCGATCTCACGGCAAAACTCAATAGTCTGACCTCAGGAGGGGAATTAATGTCCTAAACTTATTACACTCAAATATGTCCAAAAGCAAGTAGCTCGAAAGGAGAACTCGTAGTAATATAGCGCCTTCCTGCTGCAACGTATAATTCACTGGATTGCAATCCATTGAAAGGTTTCTTTTAGGTGGATATTGCTTCGTACAAATATGGGTCTTTATTTCGTGATGCTTCATTATTTCCTTTAGAGAATGTTTTGACGGACTTCGTTGCACACGATGCTTATGGATTTACACTGCCTTCGTGCCCCAAGGTCGCAAAGTCTACAAAATGGCTGACAGCTCAGCATGTACAACCAGCAATGAAACATAACCAACCACATAAACTAAGTGACGAATGATATTCAGCATGTTTACAATACAAGATATTTGGAAAGCTTTTTATAAAGCCCCTTTTCCCCCGGCGCTCACTAGTGTTTTGTATTTGACATGACAAAAGACACATGTCCGTAGCTATGATTAGCATTAATGAGCGTGGAGTGAAGAAGGCAGTTAAAGTAAAGACGAGAGGGGGGTGGGGGGTGGGGGGGTGGGGGGGTTGGGGGGCAAGGCTGCGGTTGGAGGGGGGGGGGACAAGCAGGCAGCAGATCGCTAACAGTGTCGAGAAATGTAAGGGAAAATAAAACCAGGTGAATTTCTGCAAATATATATATATTTATATTTTTTTAATGAAAAAATTCGTTTCTTAAAAACATTAAAAAGGTCGATCCTCCACAAAATTGTGCGACGTTAGGAGTACAATCACGCATTTTCGTTTCTTTAATTTTAGGACAAGTATCAGAGGAGATTCACTTAACACGCAGTTATTGGAAACAAAGATTAGTACATCAGTATATATAAACTGGACTTCGCCCAAAACTGCTAAAAATGAATGTGTTAGGAGTAGTGCGGGGTTGCTGCGTCACTTCTACTAGATCATTGCAGTAGCTAGTGCTAACACTATTTGGTGAACATGTATTCTATAGGTGCATTGGATACCACCGTACCACTGACTCGGAATAATAAGCAAGGAAACAGTTATAGACCATGTACATTATATCTATTGCACCGGGTTTAAGTTATGTACGTGGTCTTTATATTTCTCTTATTTATGCTTCATGCTATTTTTTGTTCTTATAAAAAACTAAAATAAAAAATGGGAATACCAAAAAAATTCATCAAAACATTTCATTTTTGTAATCGTTTTTAAACCTGGTCAGCCCATCACAGAATAACTAAATTTATCTTGATATCTTGATAAAATAATTCTCCTCTCTGGCATGTAACAAACGAAAAAACCATGACCTCACAGTGTGGATATCAGGTAACTGTACAACATATCAAAGGCGTAGCACAACCCAACAAAGTCATCTTGGTTTTTCTGGACTTATGTCAACAAGAAGTAACTCAATTAACAGGTGGGCAGCTATACTTTATTTCATCGATCGGGCCGGTTTATCGTAGCGCTCTTTTGTCGGTTTATCGGTTTGTCAATTAACGATGAAGATTAATTATATTGCGGAGGTGCTAAGCAGTAAGTTCCCTTGTAAGTTCAAATAAATACAAGCAACGATCAGTTACAGAAGATTGCGCAATGGATGTTGGGTGAATTAAAAGTACATTTATGTTTTCATGGATCAAAACTACGCTTTTGCTGAAACTTTGAGAAGATATAATTAGTTTATGGAAATAATTGCTCATTATGAAGAATTGTAAGTGCACGCTGTTAGTACTGTATTGTTTGGTTTTATTGGTCCATCCGTCTTTTTCCACATCGACGATTCTGGGGGACACGACTTCAGCGTCTGTCCGAATTCCAGACAGCACGGGCGTCACACAAGCTCAGCCATCCACGAGGGAACTGACTGAAATCGTAAGTACTTTGGCTACTGAAACAACGCCAACTGTTACAGTAACAGTGACCGTTACTGTGACAGTCACCGTTACAGCTACGGCAAAGAGTACGTTCACAACATCAGCAATGCGCAATGTATTCACAACCTCAACTGATTCAGCTTCAGTTGAGCCAATACTACCAACTACCAGCGTATCAGCCTTGGACACTGTCCCAGGGGGCACCCTTCTTCTTCAAAGCACGCGATTAGACGTGCCATTGGCTGCGACAGAAAGAGAAAATGCTTTTAAACCGACAACAGCCGTGTCAAGTCCTTCGTTTTTCAGTGTTCCTGTTGGATATTTTAGCTCAGGGAATTCGGAAATTATAAGAACTAATACACCGCCATCTACTGACAAAAATGTTGATTCAGTAAAGCCATCAGATGCATTCACTTACGCAGAACACATCACGGCATCAGCAGTGGCATCTTTGGACACTTTGATGTATATCCCTTCTGTATTCCGGTCAAATACTTCCGCCCTTGGGATAACGACGCAGGTTGAGACAGCTGATGGAAACACAAAGAACGTATTCAGCAGTTCAAGTTTGACATTCTCTTTAAAACTTGGAGCGGGATCGTTTGCTGACAAAAAACCCGCTCAGTCATCCCAAAGTGTTTTGAGATTAACGGATATACCGCGATATGATTCAATGTCATTTTTCCACTCATCTTTCCCAACTTTAGTCGGGGCTCCATCATCGTATGGTTTATCGCCATCCTTCAGTGAAACGGTCCACCCATCAACCACATCACTAGGCCTTTCGTCTGAACTAACCACATTCCTTGCCCTTACATCTGAACAAATCACATCCCTCAGCCTTCTGTCTAAACCAAACACATTCTTTAGCCTGCCATCAAAACCAACCTCATTTCTAAGTCTTACTGATCCAACCACAACCATAAACAATCAACATGATACCAACCTAACCTTGTCATCTGACCCAACCACATTCCTAAGCCATAAGTCTGAACCAACCACATCCCAATGGCTCACACCTGCACCATCCCAAAGCTTCCCATCTGAATCTAGCACACCTCTAAGCCTTCCATTTGAACCTACTGCAACTTTAAGCCTTCCATTTACACCAAATTCATCCTTAATACCTCCATCTGAACCAATCTCTTTCTTAAGTTTTCCATCTGAACCAATCCCATCCGTGAGCCTTCTATCTAAGCCAATCACCACTCTCAGTCTTCTGTCTGAACCATCCTCATTCTTAAGCCTTCCATATGAAACAACAAAAACCCTAAGCCTTTCATCTAAACCTACCTCATTCCTGGGCCTTCCATCTGTACCTACCTCATTCCTAAGCCTTCCTTCTGAACCTTCCTCTTTACTAAGCCTTCCATCTGAACCTACCTCATTCTTAAGCCTTCCTTCTGAACCTACCTCATTCCTAAGCCTTCCTTCTGAACCTAA